ACATCCATTTCTATTTAATGGGAAATAACTAACATTAACAAAAAAAAAATCATACCACAATTAAATAATGTATGTCTATCTCCTTTCTTAAATATCATTGTCAGCAAATTTTCAGAAAGTTGAGATGCTTAAAGTAGTTTTGTTGTAATTTCGAAATTTTACTTCAACAATGGGGACTGTGGAGTCATTAAGCTTCCTCATTATAATTAACTAAATTTACTAAAGTTACAGACAGGGGAGTGACATTTGTTGTCTGCACAGATTTTCACTGACATATTAGCCCTGTCAGACCCATAGCTAGCAAAGGGTGTCAGTGGGGGACCAAATTTTTCAAGGACAGCTAAAACAAGAATTTCAAGTCATCCAAATTTCAACCTTATATGCCTAAATTTAGGCCATATTGTGATTCAATTATATCCTATTTCCAAAAAAATTCAAAAAAATTCTGAGAGTTTTCACCATGCATAAAAACATACGGTATTGCTGTGGGTTTTATAGAATATATTTGAAAAGTTGTGATGCTTTTATTTCAATATAATTTATTTAAGAAATTTACAAATCCAGACAAATTTAATCTGCATACTTCAATTAATACATTGATCAATTGATTTAATTATGAAGTTAACAGCCTTCTTTGTGCTATTATTGGGGTCAATGGAGATTGGCAACTTCCTGCAGTGTAAAATAAAGTAGATTGATACTTAAGGCCTTGGTTAATTGTTAAATAACACAACAAATGAAATGATACCACAACAATGAAAATGAATTAAGAAATGTCACATATATTTCTAGCCTTTATTATCCAGCTCCCCTTTTATCTACAAACGCTTCCACAAAAAATGGCTTGGAATGGTAGCTTAATGTTTGTAATTGACTGTGTCTACAGTGGCTATTGAATCTGAAACATCAGTTTCAGAAATACACATATTTTAAATTATTTTGTTTAATTTGACAATGTACATGTATTTGAATTTATTTCTTTGATCAAAAAAATGATAAAGAAAACATCAACAAATAAAAAATATCAAATATAAACTGACAAAACCTGTTGCCAATATGTTTTGGCTGTAAACAAACAGTTTGAGGTTAGTTGATTTAATATGGTTAATCATTGTTACCTCCCTTGATAGAGGTTGAAAGCATCCTTACAAACTTCCACACTATTTCCTCATTGTAGTATGATATTTTAACATATTGTTACAATTTCAGCTGGTTCTTAGCCTGTTTTTCATACTTAATTAATGTTTCATAAAATAAGCTGTATTTCTGCTTTAACAATGATGAGTATATTTAAACATTAATCAAAGTGCACTATGTTAAGTTTTTGTCAATAAGGTGCACAATAAAGTAGAAGGTAGACACATTAAAATACTGTAACAATATTGTGTGTTTCTGAAAAATATAGGTGAGTAGTCTACATAGAAATGTTGACATCATTAATTTTTTGTTGACATGAGCTTTTCTTGAGTACAGCATTTACAAA